TCAAGCTCAGATTTTTTTGCTTTACAAAAGATGTCAACTTGTGTGGATTTGTATTGAGATTTGATAATCTGGTGATGAATGAGTTCGAGGGGAAATAAAAGTGATGGTGACACCCTTCGAAGTAAATTTAATGACTAGATTGACAAAAGGGATTATGTGGCCTTTTAGATGAAAGGAGATCATGATGGAATGGGCGTTCGAGGATTCTCTATCTCTGCCATTTTCGAACAAGAGACTTCTGAACAAACAAGGGTCCAAACTGAGGCGAAAGTCGCAATGACACGTTGCACTTAGTTAATTGCTCCAATAAGATACTGTGACTTTTTCATATTCACATTCTCATTCTCACAAACACCCTAGATGCATCAATTGAATTGATTCAAAAAAATATGAGTTGAATGCAAAATTAAAACAAGGTTTAAATTCACATATTTAAATTTTCAAAAGCAAACATATATGCATCTAGTTAATTGCTCTAATGAGATACTGCGACTTTTTCAGAGAAAAGTGACATCACATTCTCATTCTCGCAAATACATTGGATCCATCAATTGAACTCATTCAAAAAAATATGAATTGAGAATGCAAGATTAAAATGAGGTTTAAATTCATATATTTAAAATTACAAAAATAAACACATATACATCTAGTTAATTGTTCCAATGAAGTACTGCGATTTTTTCAGAGAAAAATGACAGAATATCACATTTTCACATTCTCATTCTCACAAACACATTTGATGCATCAATTGAATTGATTCAAAGAAATATGAATTGAATGCAAAATTAAAATAAGGTTTGAATTCGTATATTTAAATTTTCAAAAATACACACGTATACATCTAGTTAATTATTCCAATGAGGCACTACGACTTTTTCGAAGAATGTCACTTTTCCACATTCTCATTTTCGCAAACACCTTTGATACATCAATTGAATTGATTCAAAGAAAAATATGAATTTGATGTAAGATTAAAATAAGGTTTGGATTTGTATATTTAAATATTCAAAAATACAGAAGTATGCATATAATTGATCCAATAAAATATTGTGACTTTTTAGAGAAAAATGACAAATGTCACTTTTTCATTCTCATTCTCGCAAACGCCTTTGATGCATTAATTGAATTTATTCAAAAAAATATTAATTGAATGTAAGATTAAAACAAAGTTTGAATTCGTACATTTAAATGTTCAAAAATATACACGTATGCATCTATCTAATTGATCCAATAAAATATTGTGACTTTTTCAAACAAAAGTGACAAAATATCATTTTTTTCGCATTCTCATTCTCGCAAACACCTTGTATGTATTAATTGAATTGATTTAAAAAAATAAGATTGAATATAAGATTAAAACAAGGTTTGATTTTGTATATTTAAATTCTAAAAAACACACAAGTATGCATCTAATTAATTGTTTCAATGAGATACTGCGACTTTTCAGAGAAAAATGACACAATTTACTTTTTCGTATTCTCATTCTCATAACTACCTTGGATATATCAATTGAATTGAGTTAATATCTATATATGAATTGGATGTAAGATTAAAACAAGATTTGTTTGTTACTTATAACAAAGTCTTCACAATTATTGACCTCACCAGTCGATGCAGTGATTTGCTTATTCAATTGATATTTACAGATGCACAAGAGATGGTATAGGAATCTTGTTTCAACACTCTAATATAGCTTATTCCAATATATTACATTGTAAACATCCTAAAATGCATAAAAGTCTCAGAACCAGAAAGCAATCCAAATCTTCAACGCACAATCTGACTCTAATTTAGAAGGTCCTCAGATACCTGGTGATCAATCAACCTCCTCACATCTTTCTTAACTAACCTCTTCCCAGTAGGCATCGTGTACGAAAATTGTCTCTAACTTAAAATGACAGAATTGAGGAACTAATTGAACAAAAATTCAAAACATGAAAACTTGTCATTTTTATTTGTTTATTTTCAAATTTGGGGAAGAAAACTTTAAAGAATAAGTAGTTGAAGCAACCATTGATCATGTTTGTGCTTTAGTTGTGGAAGATTTCCTCTTTTTTCCTTCGATTTTCCTTGATTTCTTGAGCTTGGCAGACGACAATGTTGAAATTATGGAAGATACTGTTGGTTTATGTTTGAGCGTAGGAAATACTTACAAAATTAACTATTTGCCATTTAACCCAATTTTGTCACGAGTTTTCAAAACCATCCCAAAATTTAGGGCATTTGTGTAAGTTGCCCAATCAATTATCGAACAAGTAATTAAAAATAATTAAAATCGATTAACAGCCTAACAATCTTTCAAATCAAACAATTAATTAGAGTTAAAATCTAAAAATTAACGTTAAAACTTCAAAATATAGGGTTTATCGTTATTCTAGCATCTAGACAATTACTTGAGCATCACAAAGACAATTTCAAATAATAATACATCACTTGGATTTCAATTGTAGAAAGATACATAAAGAAAAAATATTTTTTTAACTCTTGAATATTTTCAACAATTCTTAAATAATCTTCTTCTTCTTTCAAAATTCAATCAAATGTATTGAATTTGTGTACGAGTGTATTTGTGAATCAAGACTGCCAACCTTTCTATGACGATGAAATATGTGTGTGTAGTTTTTATAATTACGTCAAAACTCATGTAGCAATCTCATTCCATGTAGAAGTCGATTTTGATTAGGAAAGAAAATATTATTTGTCGCAAAGCCATGCGATCGCTTGGTACTTTTTATTCATTTTTAAGTTAGTCCCCAAATGTCTTTTTAAGTATGTCTTTTCAAGTGATCTTTTTTTTTTTGTATAATGTATGACAATTGAACTTAGCCCCTGTTTGTCTACCATTTTTACAAATATTGTTTTCTACGGTAAACAATCTCAACCACATATTNAATAAAATATTCCACACACATACCAATAAAGTTTCTTTAAATTTCAACTACACATTCTCAATTAATTATTATTCCTTACTCCATTTTTCTACCTTTAATGGTAGTCAAAAATGCTCTTAATCTATTCATAGTTTGGATTGTGATATATTTTTTTTGTTATCTTGAGTTTGAAGTTCTCTTTTTGAAATATATACATATATTATTCAAGCAGAGCGAGTTCAATACGTGGAGTGCAATTTTTTGATACTGTATAGTTGTCATCTTGTTTAAGCCCCGGTTTTTTTAAAAAAAAATTATTTTTTCAAAACTTATTTTTAACCACATATTCTTCAATAAAATATTTTTACATGTAAATCGAAAATTTTTCCTTCTTTTTTAACCATGTCTTCTCCCAAAATCACTATTCTAAAATGTATTTTTTCCCACCAAAATGGAGCTCAAACAAGGGCATGTATCTAATTAATTTTTTTTTTTATGTCATTTCGTTTTAAAAATAGAAAAATTTATGTATTTTTCATAATTAAATTATAGGCTCTAGCATGCCCCATTTATGGATCGATAAGATTTATTTAGAAAAAAAATCATTTATCAAACTGCAATTTTAATTTTTGATGTTTTAATTTTCTCCTCTTTTCGTGGTTTTTAGTCCTATTACTATTTTAAAGCCGTTTTCAATTTTCCAAATAAGTGAAAACGAGTTCTTTTTCCTATTTTCAAAAACGTGTTTTTGAAAACAAATTAAAGATTTACAAAGAAAACTCAAAACGACAAATATGTCGTTTTTGGTGTTTTCAAAACAATTTTTCAAAATGCCAAAAAGAACACATTTTCAACAATCTCAAAATGAACACTCAAAACACAAAATTCAAAATGAATTCAAAACTCAACACAAAAAATGAAACATAAAGTGAACAGCCCCTTAATTTTTTGAAAATTTCTTAACTAAATTTTCTTCCTTGCACAAATATTGTCGAGTAGTAGCTTGTTGGATATACGTATCGAAATGACCTATATGAAAATGTTTATTAAATATATATTAAAAAAATATTATGGGTAGAATCAAATCGGAACCGTAACTGACAGTTCAGTTTGGGTTTGGTTCAAATAATTAGGACCCGAATTATTCCATTTACGAAATACCCGAATTATATTGGGAGGTTCCGAGTATTAAAATATACGGACCAACCATCCCAACGTCCAGGCGTATACAATGCAATACCGGTGATTCATGGTCTGAATGTAAATAATTATTTTGCACTCAATGCTCTTATTTTCTCTTATATTATGATATTACTCAGTACGACGGGTTGTGGTTTTTATCATATGTTCATAGACATAAGAAATCGATACCCCATAATTCTGCCTCTTATGCTATTATTCTCCAATGAGTTATTGGATAAATTGGAATCCACTTTTTTATTCGTAGTTTGTTCGCGGCAACTTTGTCTAAAAATGTTTTACAAACGGAGTTGAAAGACCTGATCGAAAACTTCTGTCCATTTAGATTACACCTTAGAAGGATTGTATACTAGCTTATATAAGTTACCAGAATAATTGTCCATTTAGTACATTTAGCTCCTGCACGAATAATTGTCCATTTAGTACATTTAGCTCCTGCACCTTAAAACTCACAAAACATCCCCTCAAAAAAAAAAAGGGCAGTTTCATTTGCCCATTTTCGAATTCTCCGAACTCATATAGAGCACGAAAAAACTTTACATAAACCCAATATAAATTAAACGGCAATCTTAAAATAAGAAAAATTGGGGGGGGGGGGGGGGGGGGGGGAGGGGGGGGAGAGAGATATCAATTGTTACTGTTAAAAAGCCTAGAATTTGCACACAATCGATTAGCTTGATAAAACCCCCTATTCTATTCTCTATTTCTCCACGTCTGAACTGTAGAAAATTCTTGAACCGATTTAGCTGGCATCAATGATCAGAAGTTGATATCGGGACTGGAACCATCAGTTACTTACTCCTATTCCACTTTCATGACACCAGCAAAAGCATCAACTCATGCCATCTTCTTAGTCACCTATTTTGCTATGGCAGTTCCTAATCTCGATGTCAATGTAAGAAACGTAAAGATTCCAGCACGTCCAGCAAATCAAGATTCTAGATTAGTGTCAGACAAACTCAATCCAGAAGAAATGCCATCACCAGTCCCAATTTGAGAGTCGAGAGGCAATAAAAACTTCGATTGTACTCCTAATATATTCAGCGATGGCCTTGGATATATGTACTGCAGTTTACATGACCAACAGAAGTCATTAATAAAAAATGCATCAGTATTTACCAAGATATATAAACATGAAACATAATTTCAACAATATCGATTACCTTGGTAGCCATATCTCTGTGGAAAGCACTAATTTCCTCTTCAGTAAGACCACCCTCATCAGCATTTTCCTCCCAGCCCATAGAGCGTAAAAGGGCAACTTCTTCCTCTTCAGGAAATGCAGAATCCATGCTAAAATTTTCATTTCCATTGTTAACATATTTCTGCCTATTACAGGTATCACTATCGCAGGTCAAGTCACCTCTCTCCACTGACAAATGGCCCTCACTCAGGCTGACAGATGATAAGGTATGACCCGCCTGAGTATTAGAAGCCACCACCTCCTGTAGTTCACCAAGCTTATCCGAAACAGATGGTGATGCGAGTGAATCATGATCGGGAACCTTTGAGGAGTTTGCTATAGATGGATCATGAGCAGCTGAAGGATTTGCCAAGGATGAATCGGGAACGGGAGACGAGTTTACCAAAGATTTCTTCCTCACGAGGTTGAAAAATTCATTTCGACTTTGAGCTTGAGAAGTTGATTTCTTCTCCAACACAGTCAATACGGGCTTGCGATTGGCACCGGCATGGAAGGGGTTCTGTGGTGGGCCCCTAGTCACTGCAGATCCAGAAGCCGAAGCGACAAGAGTGGGATTCAAGATTTTGCTACCACTAGTTGCGCTCAAGTTATCCTTAGCGTAAGGAGAGACACCATTTCTCTCTCGCACTGGCTTCAGAACATGGAGCTTTCCCACATTAGATGTCTTTGAAAAGTCAGACTCCTCAGGAACCCCGCTTGGGGAGTGACTAACAGGAAGTGAAGATGCCAGTGTATGCAGTTTGCCAACCTTAGTTTTCTGTTTATTTGAAGAATTCAAGACCTGAGCAGAAGTTCAACTTTATTAACCATATTCAAACACATGTAATGAATGGTGCCAAAGAACCGAAAGTTATCCAACAAGGATAATCAAATTCGTTAAAGTCAGAAACTGCTTAAGCTATCTTATTTATTAAAGTGAAAAACACGCGTCTCATGCACAAACCAAATAGAGCCACAGGGTAAAAAAATATTGCAAACTCTCCCTCAATTTAACTCATATTAAATATTGTAACCTCATATCATAAGCACATAAAGCAGAAACTTTTTTTCATTTGTGTCCTCGCAGGTAACTTGAAAATGTCATTGTCATCATTATCTACTGGACAGTCCACAAAAAAATGCTTCAAGGCCTGAGATTTTTCCATTTTCAGAACACTGCATTTTCCAGGAATATCAGCAACCCGCCCAGCCCCCCACACCTTTTTCTTTTCTCAAATAAACATCTTAATCTATTTTTCTCTTTCCTCCACCTAACAGCATAAGTAAACAAGTTTCGACCCTTGCTCTCATAGAAACGTTCACGTTCAAGTATCAACGTACAAAAGAAGTCTATACTCTATCACATATGAACCTCTATCTCAAACCTATGTCAACCATAACAACTAAGAATGTTATTTATACCTCATAAAACCTACCTTAAGGGTGACTTAAACTTTACTGTCCATAGGAACGAAACTCAATTTGACTCTCTGTCATAGCAAATCCAAAAGTCCTAATGTTTTATCACCATTAAAACAAAGTGAACCACTAATATCTCTTTGCTAAGATGCACACACAAACGTACAGGAAGTATAAGTACTCCACAGTCCACAAAACATATAAAATATCCACACATATATATTCAAAATCTCTCTCTACATACACACACTCACCAAAATGTACACAGAGGCGTGGGATTGAAAGAATAGGACATTTGACTTTTCTCCCTAGAAAATTTGACACGAATCAGAACCACAACTGTCTGCAATGCAGTGATGGAAGGAACTATGATAATCACTAATACAAAAGATTTTTCAAAGTGTATTTTTTTCACTTGTATTAATCCGAAAATTGAAGGCCAATCCATCATTTAATATTTAATATATACATATATTTTTCCGGTATTTTTTCGTGCTACTCACTGTTCATATCTTAAAATTTTCTGGAATTTTTGGAATTCTTTTGTTATTGTTGGTTAGTTTGGGGATCTAAGGTTTAATTACCTCCCCTATTTTCATCTGGTATTGTTTTTCTTAAATAATCCCAATGTTTTGGGATTTTTACAGCACAGATTAGGATAATTATTTTGTGCGTGTTTATTAAAAGTTCTGTAAATTGAAATATGGCATTCTTCTAGTGGTTTTCTTAAGCATGGAGGCCCCAAGAAGCCCTTGTTAATTTTGCCTCTGGACCAAAGAGATTACGGAAGTTTTTCTTTTAAATTACTTCAGAAGAACCATTCTTATTGACTTTACAGTATAGATAAATTGTAAGGCGAGAATGAAGATTCTTACATAGGAAGGCTTGTTCGTTGGAGGAGTTATTTGGGGGGAGGGGGGATTTGCAGATTTTGATTAATACAATACTGTCTAGTGAGTTCTCAAGGACAACCATACAACCAACGGTAACATGTTTACTTGTTCAAGATAGGCTAAAATGGAAAATGAACCACGAGTCTGGTGAAGATAAGAAAGGAACAGTTGTGAGACAGTAAGTTCTGGGGATGACCATTATCACCTATTGACTGTAAAAATTCAAAATCTCATGTTGGTAATTCTCACATTCATTCATCATTCATATTAATAGAAATCATTTGATAGGAACTTAAGAAAACATCATTTATATTAGTAGAAATCATCATTTATAGGAACTTAAGAAAACAATGATGAAATATAAAAAGTGATGTTGGATTGACATAAATGCTGCTAAAAACAAACAATTTAGAGACCCTTAACACCTCATCAAAACTAAACCAAACAACTATTACAATACCCAAAAAAGTGGAGAAGTAAAATAATGCTTATTCAGTAAATGCTGAAACAATCTTATTTACCCTTTCACAATCAGGTTGGAAGTTTGTATGGCGAGAAATATTACCAATTTTGAAGACCAGAATATCAATAGCATTCTTTATTAACTAGAAGAAGATAAGCTATTTCTAGATTTGACATAATAGAGAGCATATTTTCATTGCTTGTGCTACAGAGTAAGTTTCTTGTCAGCTATGGCCTCTAAGCCATGTGCTGGTTTAGCTTTATCCGATACGCACCATGCTAATAAGAATTTTCTCACAGATAATTTTCCTTCTGTTTTGTATGTTCAAATGTACCACATCACTCAGTCCTCTGCTTCTCTAATTCTTTCTGTATAGTAACAAATTTCTTTATCTTAGATAATACTTCTCAAATAAAGATGAGACAGACTGCGTGTTAATGACTTGTGGAAAAAAGTTGTGTTTTTGTCATCTTTGTGTTACAGCTTCAAGCATAAGTTCCACTTTAGCTCTACTATATTTGCAATGTGCTTAGAAAGATTCATTGATTTCATAATTTGTTCTGTCATTGTGTTTAAATGTACCCGAGGACTCCTCCTTCTACACTACTGTAATTTTTTCCCTATCTTAATAGTTTCTTCTTATCTTGGGGGTACTTCCTTTTTTCTCCTTCTGTTATTAACCGAATGGAATACTTTAAAACAATTATGCCTAAATGTCACACTGACAAAATATGATAGTAGATTAGTAGATCATAGCTGATAACCTAAGTATCACAAACATTAAAGCAAAGGAAGTATCGGTCTTACCAAGGTTTTCGGCTTGGATGGTGTCACGGGAATTAGCTGCCTAGATTGTTTGATTGCAAGGTCTTCATGTCTCGGAGTTCCAGATGACTTCAACAGAACATAAAACATGATATAAGCATAATAACTTTCAGATTCATTTCCCGAAAAGGGAGAACTGAAACTACCTGAGTAGTAATCTGAGTATGAGTAGAACTCTGAGCCACAGTTTCGGCCATGTTGAGATCAGAACTTGTCCCAAAAGTGCTAGAGGAAGATTTTGAAGAAGTGGATTGATGCAAAGATGAGATGCCAATTCCGTCACTACCGACTAACACAGGCACCTCTGCCAATGCTGAGGTCCACTTTTCACCACCTATCACAGTTGAGGAGGGAATGGGTAAGCTCTGAATGGCAGTACTCAAGACAGGAGATGGGACTCTTCCAACCTCAGGAGTGGCTGGTCTTTCTTCAGCTCTCAAGGATGGAAAATCTCTCTCAAAAGCTGATTTATTTGCAATGCCGACAGGACTGCCCTCATTAAGCAAACCATTGTTGTTTCTACTGGCACTACTCAAGTCTGTTATAACTTTCTTTGGCCATGTCTCCCCACGTTTCCCAGAACTCATGGACTGTGAACGACTCAACTTATCCCTCTCAAATTTACTTGGCAAAATGTTCCCAAAAACATCTGAAAAATCTCGGTGCTTATGGTCCCCCGAAAGTGGCTTTTCTTTGTCACGAGAATCATATACATCCCTATCCCGATCCCTTTCCCTTTGATTTCTACCAAAACTACTATAAGAACTCAAACGACCAGAACCATTACTACTAGAACTCCGTTGGAAATATGACGAAGTGGTTCTATCAGAACCAGATGATTGCCTTGAATCATGACCATTACTATGCACGAATGACTTATTTCTTGCAAGATTTGATGCAGCATGACCCACTGACAAAACAGAGATGCATTTAGAAACTAGATTAAGCCAATTAAGCAGAACATACTAAATAAAAGATATTGCTTCAAAATTATGATAAAGATCAACCTGAATGTGAGGTAGTGCTACCACCATTCAGACTTCCACCATTTTTCAACCATTCTGGAACCAATGTAGGCTCACTTCTTTCCATAACCAGTACCAAACATTATCATATAAAGGAATAAAAGTAAAGAAAACTGACTTGTCTTCCTCGAATTAATGACCACGCATCCACCGAGCGTGCTGATGATTGATAAATGCGGCGCCTACCCACCCCAACAAAATTAAATGTGGTCTGGACAAATTTAAACCAAAATTTATACTTTCTTCAAAATTTCCAATAAATTAATCCCGCTTTCTCTAAGCCAAAACCCTTGTGTCGTCCAAAGAAAGAATCTGAATTCTCTCTCTATACAATAAATGCTGTCATGTCAACAAGAAAATTCTAATCGTGTGAATGAAAAACTAAACTCTGTAAGTTCTTTAGTACCCGGACGCCATATTAACAAAGGCTTGTCAAGGCCGCAATGTTCAAGAAAACCACACGAAGAAGAATCGCAAATCTCAGTAACCAGAAAATTCAATAAACAGCCCACCAAAATTTAATCCTAATCCTTGCAGAAAATATCCCGAAACAGGGTAATTTTTCAACAAATCAATAATTCCAGATGAAAAGCAGCGAGGTAACCAAACCCTAGAGTCCCAAACTATCCAACAATAACAAAGAAGCCCAAAATCCCAGAAAAAAACTAAGATTTGAACCCTTAGTAGCACGGAAAATTCTCAGAAAACGAAAGGAAACAGTCCGTATATATCAAATATCAATAAATAGACTGGCCTTCAATCTTCAAATCAAAAATAACGAAATAAATATACCCTGAAAATCTTTTGTATAACAGAAGACCCTAGTTCCTTTTGTCGCCGACTTTTTCTTTCAAAATCTGTGTAGTTTTTCTTGAAAAAAAAATAAAACAACTCTATTCTCAATTTTAGGCCTCTGTTCGTGGAGAGATTTTATCTATCTGTATGTAGAGAAGGGAGATTTTCTGAAGAAATTTGGGTTTATATGTGTGGGTTTTCTGAAGAAAATTTGGGTGTTATTAGGATTCCTGTATAGATTGTGTACCTTAGTACTTAGGACTGTAAGTCCATACCAATCCTAATTTGTATCAACATCCCACCAATAATAAGGTTTATTTAGCACGTTGGTATTTTTTTTCCCCCTATTCTTCGAAAATTCTAATGACGCTTCAAGCATGGCTTTGGACATTAGCTAGGAACTTGAATTGTGAATTTGACAATGAGTTAAAGCTAATTTGAATTTGATCACGTTACATGTCATGGGTGCATATATCGTGTCGAGTCGATTGTCTAATAAACGTTTTTTAAAACCGACTCGATCTGAATTTTCTTTTGGGACGAACATGGGTTGTCTTGTCTGATTCACTTTATCGGACATGTAAGGTTTAAGGAAGAATTGTGTGCTAACGAAATTGAGAATGAGCTAATATCGAGTGGCATCATAATTTTAGGAAATTAATGATCACTTCTTATTTAAAAATAAATTATTTTTCCTCCAAAGAATGCTTATATCTTGAGAGGAAGAATTTCTTTGAGGCGGGGATGGTAAAAAAAAAATCATTAAGTTCGGGACATGAATTACGCGCTTAAATGGATATTTGGGTCGGGAAAGGGTGAGAAACCTCGCCCCAAGCGGGTACGGATAATAAGGACCCCGTCCTACCCCACCTCGCTCTGTTTAATTTTTTTATTTTTCAAGAATTAAATACTTTAAATAGAAAACTACACGAAATTGTATTAGTACTAATAGAATATGTGAATTAAAATTATCTAATAAATATGACAAATAATAAAAGTCTTAATTTACCAAATAATATTAAATGATGAATTTAAGTTTAGTAGTAAAATTTGGAAGATTACGTTTTATTCCATCCAACTTTTGATAAATTAATTTATTATTTTGCCATCACTTACATAATCTAATTAATGAATTAATTTATTTCCTATTTTCTCTTTTTAAAATCTAGACAGGAGATTTTAAATGTGTACTAACACGTATCATGTTCTTTGGAAAATGGATAATGCTAAAGGTACATAAGGATCTACATAAAGGTGTCCATAATGCTGATGTGGCATGTGATCCCACCTTTAATTCAAATCTGACACTTACACATCAATGACCGGATGATTGCCACATCAGTATTATGGACACCCTTATGTAAATGCTTATGTACCTCTAGCATTATCCTTGGAAAATTTGCCGTGTAAATAGGAAGTATATAAATTATTTAATTTAAGAGATTGACGAAAGGAAAGAACAACGAAATACAGTATAATAGTTTGTACTACACATGCCTATACGGTTTGAATTAAAATTAGCATAGTAAAATTGGATTAATCCCAAAATCTCACAAGAACATTCTATTTATATTAGAGATGAATATGTTTGATTTCTCATTCTAAATGAAAACAAAAAGGCAAAATTATTAGGGTCCCTTTGATAGGTAAAGGCGGAAATGAATTCTAATTCCATCTTAGTTGGAAAATAAAAACTCACCAAACCTATAGGAATTCATTTTACATAAAAACAAAGAAAATGTAGTTTAAAGTGGCAGTATCTTGGAATTCGGTTTCCATTTCCACGTTACAATTAAATGGACAAAATAGAATTCGTTTTCATCGGATGTGACATTTTCCGTGGAAAATGTGGCAATCAAACAGGGCCTTAGTAAAATTGCTCTCCCAAAACATGTTCTACTTTCACATGGATTGCAAGTTTTACATAGCCTATGTTTGGTTCACTTAAAAAATTAATTAAAGTTTAAGTCAAAGTCAATAATTACTTTTAACCACACATTTTACAAAATTTACAACTTCTCGATCACATAGTTAATAATTTTTATTAAATTTACTGAAATTTTGACTTTTATTTAGACCTTAGTATCAGTGTAAAACATTTAAAAATATATTGGAGATTTAAACAGTTTGAATTTATTTAATATAGATTTTTTTAAGACTTCATGAAAGTTTAGAATATCATAAACTTTCTAAAAGTCTTTAGAATGTATTAAAAATGTCAATAACTTTCATAAAAGTATAATGATCGAAGCTCGATGACTTAAAAACTCACTCAAAACTAGTAACTCAAACAATTGAAATGATATTCAAATGAAAATCACAACTAAAGAATATTACAAGAAATTAGCGCAAAGATAAGAAAAAAGAAGGGAGATCGGGAGAAGAAAAATGGAGTGGTTTAGATGAGAGGTGGACAAAATGTCCAGACCAAACCAAACCAGAATCGAACCAAACCAAGCGGTTCTAAAGATTCTACAAAAAAAATTAATAGTTTTGGTTTTTCGAACAAAAAACTATTTGGTTATAGTTTTGGTTCTGTTCTGATTCTAAAACCAAGAATCAAATCGATAACCAAACTTAATTTATAATTTTATTTTTTGTATGAATTTGATTTTGCATTGAGGAAATAGAGTTCTATGAAGAAATTGATCTGGTAAAATTTATTTTATAAAATATTATTACGTTACATCTTATTAATTGTAAATGATTTTAATTTATTTTTGTTTGTTTTAATTGTGTATTTTGAATTATGTTTGTAGAGTTTTTCAAAGTTACAACATAAGTAATGGAGTATTAAACGTTTAATGGTTATCTGATGGTAAGGGGCTAAGGGCTAAGTTGTTTGGCTTGGTCATTTTGTGACCATCCCTGCTTATTAGTTTCGAATTTTAACTTTATATTTTAGTTTCATTTTTCATTTTTGGTTTAACGGCTTCATGTAAAGGAATTGATTGGACGAAGGATGAAAATGGAACTCGATATTATTAACTTCTTACAATGACTCATTCGTTTATATTTTGTTTGTTAGTTTGGGCTTTTATGATCTTGATTATTGATAATTTGAACTTGCTAAATATTTGATACTTATATTTTTTATATAAGTATATATTAGCAACTTATGAATATGATACAAATCTGAAAATTTAAGTAATAGTACTAGAACTAGACAAAATCGAACCAGAACCAAATGGTTCGGTTCCGCATCTTAAAAAAAACTATTTGGTTCCATTATCAAAAAAAACCATTGGTTCGTGGTTTGGTTCGATTCCCTTAGAACCAGGATCAAATGGAACCACGTCCACCCCTAGTTTAAATAATTCACGTAACAAGAAAATTTCAATTCTAAACATGTGATTCCTTCATCAATCTGACTGCATAGACACTCTCTCTTCTCTAACTGTCGATGCCAAAATAACTTGGGCCCAATAGAAGTGGCCCAATAAAATGGCCTTTCAATTCTTCCCTCTACTTTTCAAATTTGTCTCTTTTGTTTTCTACTCCGGTTGCATTCAACTGTTATCTTATTTTCTTGACAACTCGTTGTTAAGATTTGGTCCTTTCCATTGAGCGAGCCATTGAGTAACTAATATATTATTCCTTTTCATTACCCTGGTCTAGAGAATTGTCCATGGTTGTTTCTCAGGTCCCTATTTTTGTTTTAGGTCAGGCAACTACGGCACAGGTCCTACCCCATCTCCTAATTTCTTTTTGAGTACTGATATATGGATTACTGGGTGCACTCTTGAGTCTGTAGGTAGATCAAGATGATAAGCTACCTTCCCCACCCTTTTTAGTATCTAGAAGGGCCCATAGTACGTAGGAGACAGCTTATGGATGCTTCTAGATGCCACTGATTCTTGCTTATAAGGATGTAATTTGAGAAATACCCAATCCCCTTCATTGAACTTCCTCTCTGTTCGTTTCCTTTCTGCATATAATTTCATCCTAACTCTAACTTGAGTCAAATTATCCTTAAATATGTTGTCCATCTTACGTTTTCCTGTAGTAATTCTTCTACAGCTACTACATTAGTTTGCTGGTAAGGGCCAAGTGCTAGCTATGGGGGCTTGATTCTATATAGAGCCTCAAAAGGTGTCATCTTAATTGTTGAATGAAAGGTTGTATTATACCACCATTTTGCAAGTGATGTCCATTTGACCCATTGTCTAGGTTGATTTAAATGTCATACACCTCAAAAACATTTCTAAGCATTGATTCAACATTTGTGTTTGCCCATCTGTTTGTGGGTGGTACTCAATTGCATTTGTGTCC